ACATTTTCAGGGAAAGGTATGGGCCTAGAAAACAACTATGTTAAGTGAAATAAGCCAGGCTCAAAGGGACAAATGGTGCATATTTTCTCTCATATGTGGAAGCTAGATCTAAACTACAAGCATATACATGATAATGTAGACAGGGTTTTATGCATATACACACAACCTGACTAAAGGTTGGTATGTATACTTAGGGAGGAGTCCAAAGGTGTAGTTCCTCTAAACAACTAAGGGACTGCTTAAAAAATGAGTAACAGTGACAACATGTTTGGAGGAGAAGACAATGGAGGGACACACAAAAGGAGGGAGGATGGGTGAGCAAATGCAGTCATTATGTCATTCAATATACATAAAAATAGAACAACATAACGAGGGTAGGGATAGGAGAGGAGAAATGGGGTAGAACAATGGAAAGAGTAACACTGATCAAGATGCATTGTACTCATGGACTTGTAACCCTTTTGCACAACTACTTAAAAATAAATGAATAAAAAATAAAATCTGAAAGCAAGCCCTGTGTATACTTTGTGTCCATAACACATTCATAAGAAAACTTAAAAAACTGAGTGTTCAGCAAGGTGCTGGTGGCTCAGGCCTATAATCCTAGTTACTCAAGAAGCTGAGATATGAGGATCAAAGTTTGAGCATGCTCAAGCAGGAAAGTCCGTGAGATCATCATCTCCAATTAAGTACCAAAAAAGCCAGAAGTAGAGCTGTGGCTCAAGTGGTAGAGCACTAGCCTTGAGGAAACAAAAGACCCCAGGAACAGTAGCCCTGAGGATGGGCACACATACACACACACACACACACACACACACACACACACACACACACACACACACAATCTGTGTTACCAACATTTTTTACACGTGTGTCTAATTACAGAGCTGCTACCATTTCAGCCATTCTTTGGAGAACTCTGGGCATGTGGAGCTATGTAACTCTGTAATCTCTAGGGATTTTGACTTTATCGAAGTATCTTTCAGAACTCAAATCCTTGAACCCTCATAACCTGTAATAGTCCCCAATTTTTAGCTTGTAGACCCTTGAGGCAAAGGGAAAAGTAGTCGACAAGAGGAGACCTCAGTTCTAAATGTGTGAGTGATGTTCTCACTCTAGCTGTACTCTAAAAGTACAGCTTTCTATTGTAGGAGTGAGTGGGTGAAGTGAGATTTTCTTTTTAATTTTAAGAAAAGGCCTTTATAGCCCAGTACCAATGGCTCACATCTGTAATTTTAGCTACTCAGGAGGCGGAAATCTGAGGATCAAGGTTCAAAGCCAGCCTGAGCAGGTAAGTCCATGAGACTTATCACCAATTAATCACCAAAAAGCATGAACTGAAGGTGTGGCTCAAGTGATAATAGGCCAGCTGTGAGAAGAAAAATATAAAGGGCAGTGCCCAGACCCTGGGCTCAAGACACACACACACACACACACACACACACACACACACACACACACACACAGAGAGAGAGAGAGAGAGAGAGAGAGAAAGGAGAGGGGGGGGGACACTTATACCTGAAATGTTTGGAACTACTGGAACAGAGTCTAAACATGGCTATTAGATCATTAGCATCAAGTGTCAAAGAGTACTAGTTTCTGTCCTTAGGATAAGGCTATATTTTTGCTAGGCTTATTAAAAGAGATTGCTTTATCATTTGTAAGCATCATCTTCATGATGTTTGTATATATTCATTAAACCATCAATTTATTTTATTTTATTTTTAAAAAATTATTTTTACTGGATGCTGGTGGCTCCCGCATGTAATCCTAGCTACTGAGGAGGCTGAGATCTGAGGATCATGGTTCAAAGCCAGCCCAGGCAGAAAAGTCCGTGAGACTCTTATCTCCAAAAAACCACTAGAAAACAGGAAGTGGCACTGTGGCTCAAGTGGTAGAGCGCTCGCCTTGAGCTGAAGAGTGCAGGGATAGCTCCCAAGCCCAGAGTTCAAGCCCCACGACTCACAAAATATATATATATATATTTTGCAAGTCCTAGGGCTTGAACTCGGGGCTTGGCCAGTATCCCTGAGCCTTTCTGTGCTCAAGGCTAGTGATCTACAACTTGAGCCACAGTGCCACTTCCAGCTTTTTCTGAATAATTTATTAGAGATAAGAGTGTCACAGACTCTCCTGCCTAGGCTGGCTTCAAACCATGATCCTCAGATCTCAGCTTCCTAAGTTGCTAAAACTATAGGTATGAGCCACTGGTACTCCTGGCTCATCAATTGTTTTTATACCTCTACGACTTTTGTTGGTAACTTTCTTTCTATTTTTTAAGAACTCCTGATATCTAAAACAGACTATGTCTCCAGCATAGCTTATTATGTAACCCTATTCTGCACCCATTACCATACCAAATTTGTTCCTTCTCCTATTCCTGGTCTTGCTCTTGGCAACATTCTCCAAACAGTTCCCAAATTAGAAACTTGAACTCTTTCATGTCCCTCACCTTCACATCCAATTGATCACTGAGCCTCCTTGATTTTTACCTGTCCAGCATGTTTCAGCACTGAGCTTCCTGCTCCATCCTTGCAACTGCCTATTTCATCAGCTTCTTCGTGGCAGGCAGAGGTCTCTTGCTTTAAATTATTTTTAAATTTTTTAAATTTTATTCTCCTTAAGTATTTGTGCAAAGGGGATTCAATTCAATGTGTCATTTTTTTAGTGCGATGCATCTTTCTAAAACATAAAGGCTAGAATTCTTGGGTTGTCAGTCAAGGAATGGACCAATCTGACCACAGCCTATTTTGCCAGCCTTATCTTCTGTTATGCCTCAAAAGACACCCACTTTGTTCTCTGATCACACTGAGCACACCATGCATTTTCTGTTTGTGCTGTTTGGAATGCTTTGGTTCTGCTTTATGTCTTCTATCTCATGGCAACCCCACTTCCCTTTTGCGACTTATCTCAAGTACATTTCCTCTAGGGAAACTTCTTTTTTTAATATATTTTTTATTGTAAAAATAGTGTACAGAGGGGTTACAGTTACATGAGTAAGGTAATGAGCACATTTCCTATCGAGCATTATTACTTCCTCCTTTGTTTTTCCCCTACCATCCCCTCCCACCCTACCACCCCAACTCTGCCCTCCCTACCCCCCACAAGTTGTAAAGTTTGTTTTCAACATAGTGTCTTGTACATCTCATTGTTACAATGGCTCAACCTGTATCCCTATTTAAGCATTTTGGTTTTTAGGGAAACTTCTTTTTTTGGAGGGGGGGGGTCCGGTCGTGGGGCCTGAACTCTGGGCCTGGACGCTGTCCCTCAGCTCTTCAGCTCAAGGCTAGCACTCTACCATTAGAGCCACAGCACCACTTCCAGCTTTTTTCTTTTTGCTTATGTGGTGCTGAGGAATCGAACCCAGGGCCTCATGCATGCAAGGCAAGCGCTCTACCACTGAGCCACCTTCCAAGCCCTTAGGGAAACTTCTTAATAGAACTAAATAGAATTTACCTTTACCTCATCTGTCTCTTTAATCCATCTCTTCTATTTTTTTATTTTGTGTGAGTACAGGGGCTTGAACTCAGGGCCTGGCTTCTGTCCTTTAACTTTTTATCTCGGCACTGGAAATCTACCATTTGAGCCACAGGTCCACTTCTGGTTTTTTTCTTGTTAATTGGAGTCTCAGAGACTTTCATTCTCAGGTTGACTTCAAACCACAATCCTCGGGGCTGGGAAGTTGGCTCAGTGGTAGAGCGCTTGCCTTGCATGCCTGAGGCCCTGGGTTCGATTCCTCAGTACCACATAAGCAAAAAGAAAAAAACCGGAAGTGATGTTGTGGCTCAAGTGGTAGAGCGCTAGCCTTGAGCTGAAGAGCTGAGGGACAGCACCCAGGCCCAGAGTTCAGGCCCCACGACCGGACCCAAAAAAAAAAAAAAAAAAAAACAAACCACAATCCTCAGATCTCAGCTTCTGAATAACTAGGATTACAGGTATGAGTTATTACCCAGCTAATACTTCTATTTTAATGAAATAACTCTTTATGCTCATTATTTTCTGTTTTCTCATATATGAACTCCTAAGGGGCAGGCCCTATGTTTCCTTTCCTCTATGTGCCACCTAAACTCTGGCCATATAAATATGACTTTTCATGACATGAGCCTTTGCTCAGGTGGGTCAGTCTCTCCCTTTCTCTACATGGTGAGAAAATCTACTCATCTGTCAAGACTCATGTCATATGCAATGTCTCTAAATCTGTGTGCAGTCTCAGAGTTAGCTGTTTCTCATCCCCTCCCCTTGTGGTCCAACCTCAGTGATGGCATTTGCCACATGAGCATTCAATTATAATTATTAGCTTAACTGACACAAATCTCAGATAGTTGATTCATCTTTGTAGATTTAACACAAAACGTAACAAACAATAAATACATCCTTGACCAATAATGAAAGTCTAATTTATGTATGGTGACCTGGAAAGAGCTATTGGGTAGATTAGTAAGCTTTGAGTACTTATTTACATTACTAGTCCATGCACCTGTAGGATGCTGCTGGATTCACTTTTTTTTTTCTTTTTTTAGTACTGAAGGCTTGAACTCAAGGCTTCATGCTTGTTAGTCTGGTATAATACTGCTGAGGTACGTCTCTTTGTTCATGGGTTATCTTTGTGATATACTCTCCCTTCCTGCCTGGGCATGTGACTGAGCCATGAGCTTTGCCTACTTTGGGCTTTGCATCATTGCTAGAATCACAGGCAGCATGCCACTATGTTTAGTTTTCCACCATGCAGACAGATCATCAAAGATTTTTCTGCCTAGGCTAGCCTGACACCATGATCCTTTCAAGGTCAATCTCCTACATAACTTGGGATAATATGTACACACCACTGCATCCAGCTATAGTTTGAGAAAGTGTCTTAAAATTTTCTCCCCAGACTAGCCTCAAACTTTGAATCTCCCAGTTTCAGCCTCCTAATAATTATCTAGAATTAAAGGCATATACCATTGGCACATAGGTTTTTCACAGTCTTGACTCTAAAACTGTCCTTGTTACTTTTCTAGGTGCTTAATGCTCAATAGTCAATCCACTGCCTATCCTCACCGCCCCCCCCATGAGTCTTGGTTCTGATGCAACCTATGGTCATGCAGGGATGCCCTTATACCTTCCCACGATGTCATGAGTGGCGGGCTGCTGACCGCTTCCATCACAGCAGCAGCCTCCGAAGCACCGTCCTCCAGCCTCAGGTAAGAGTAAAAGAAAGACTGGTAGAGAAAGAGAGAACATAGGATGTGTGTGTGCACTTGGAATAGGAAAGTTTCCTAAATTAGCTTGGGAACACTCTGTATTGACATAATTCTTCCCAGATAGCATGGAGCCTAATTCAAATCCATCTCTATTACTCATTGTGTGTATGTGGGGTGGGTCATAGATCAAGGAAAGGCATTGATCCGGGGAATCCAAAGTGCTCACTGGTATGGGGAGGGGGGAGTTCTGGCTATCCTAGCAAACATGATTAGGAAAAAGCATGACCTTCAGTTGCCTTGGATTCCTGTGGCATATCTCATAATCTCTAGGTAGCTCTCTCATGCCATTGGCTCTTCTTCTCAAGTACATAGCCCTCTCTGCTGGTACTTTCCCCAAGACACAGCCAGGACAGCTTGGTCATGGCTAGGTCACAAGGAAGCCTTTTCTAACTCTGAGACATTTCTAGTCCAGAAAACTGTGAGCCTGGCATGAGCCCAGTTACCTCAACACAAGGGATGCTGAAGCCTGGAGCTAGTACCACTTCCCACTCCTGGCCAGTCATACCCTGCCACCCTAGCTGGCTCCACTCAGACCCCTAGAAAGGGTTAGGCAGCTGCTCAAACTATTCCTGTAGGTGGGCCTCAGCATGGAAACAATGTGGAACTGTGGAAAGCCCAGAAGACTCTGTGGGAGATAAATAAGGATGGGAACAGAACTCTTCTTTGGTAAAAACAAAGTGTTTTCCCAAAGTACTGAGGGGTGAGGTTCCAGCTCTGGAATGTTAACCTTTCCCCAGGCAAGGGAGGGAGAAGAGTGGCCATTTCCAGGAGGGGCAATGCCTCTAGTCTTCTGACTTAGGGAAAAGGGCTTCCCTTAGTCCAGCCTAGTGTAGCACAGGCCAGCACCTCTGGCACTGGATCCCTGCATAAGACTACTAGGTTTTATTGTCCCATCTTCCTCCCCTGCAGAAGCCCATAGGGGGATAGGGACATGGCTCAAGGGGTAGAGAGTTTGCCTAATAAATGTGAGACCCTGAGCTCAAATCTTAGTACCACCACCAAAAAAAGAAATGGAAAGAAGAAAGGAAGGAAGGAAGGAAGGAAGGAAGGAAGGAAGGAAGGAAGGAAGGAAGGAAGGAAGGAAAGAAGGAAGGAAGGAAGGAAGGGAAGGAGGGAGGGAGGGAGGGAGGGAGGGAGAGAAGGAGGGAGGTCAAAAAGGGATCCTAGAGATCACCCATTTACCTCTGTGCTTGGTGTCTGAGTGTTATATTTCTCTCAAAGGCAGGGTATAGCACTCCTTTGTTTTTGCAATGGTCATTGATGAACCTTTGGGACCCTGGACTCATGGAGAGTCATCCAATTCAGAAGGATTCTGCTGTACCAGCTTCCTGATGTTGCCATACTATGGCACTGTCCCAGGTGTCCCAGGAGACCTATTGAGTGATTTACTTGAGGATCCTGCTTGTTCCCAAGCTCATCCTCTTGTCAGGCCTTTGGAGAATTTGCTTATCAAAGATTTGTCAAAGTGTCCAAATCCTTTCACTCATCTCAGAGGAGCAGTGGGCCTGGAGGCAGAATGAGTTTTGGGGGGTCTTTCATGGAAAGGAAAAATTAATCATCAGAAGCTACCTTCTGCAGGCTCTACTCAGAATCGTGGAATGTCCAGTCTCACTCCTGTCACCCTTGGCAGCCTGGGAGGGCCATTTTGGCCCTGGTGTGGCAGGCCCAGTTGAGAGAGAGCCGGAATTCCCCAGGAACAAAGCTTTGATTCACCGGCCAGGCCCTGACATAGCCGCCCCCTCCAGATTCCTGGGGGGTCAATAAACAAACAGGGTGACAGCCCCCGCCTCCTGGCCTGGCTCCACTCTGCCTGCCTCCCTTAGTTGCTCAGAGCAGCTCAGGACTGAGCCTGACTGCAGCTCACAAGACCCTGGGTCCGAATTCCTGCTGAGGGTTAATCATGGAGCTGCCGGATCCTGCCATGGACTCCCCAGGCAGCACAGGTAGGGTCAGCTCACAGGGCACAGGGCCTGAATTCTGAGTTTGGTGCCTGGAGCTTGGAGGCTGCCTCCCTTTCCTTTCATGACGTGCCTGTGAGCAGTGGTTTCAATGGGTTGATTGGTTTCCTAAATAGCCTTGGAGAGTCTTTGTGGGGAGGAAGTTACAGTTTAGAAGGAGGAAAGACTGGAGAAATCTCAGTTGCTATAGCCCCACCAGCTTATTTTCATAGGAAGGCCAGTGGGTAAACAGTCAGGCTGGCATGTAGGTCTCCCTAGGCTGATTTAGAGTAGCCAGACTGAGATTTCCAGAATTAATTCCCCTTCCCTCCATCCACTCCTGCCCTGTATGCTAGGCACTATGTCATTGTGCTATCATGTTCCTAGTCCTAGAAATATTCTGACAGGGTCTATCAAGTTCCCAAGTTACACACTATGAAACTGAAAGCCCAAGACAACACATTGTCAGGTTTCATGGCTTGTCCTCTTGGCTATCAGGATCTGGGATGCTCCTTTAGTTCTTTCTCAGACCATGTTTCCCTTCAAAACCAATGCCCCTTTACTAAGATGGGAGGTATAGGGAATTGGAGGGAGGTGGTGTTAAGACCCAGGTCCATTTGGGACATAGGATACCTACCATTAAGGTACTCTGAGCTGGTTTGTTATCTGTCTGAGGTGTTTTTGTTTGTTTGTTTGTTTTTGGAAAGCATGGGGTTTGAACTCAGGGTCTGGGCACTGTTCTTGAGCTTCTTTTGCTCAGGGCTAGCACTCTACGACTTGAGCCACAGTACCACTTCTGGCTTTTTCTGTTTATGTGATACTGAGGAATCGAACCCAGGGCCTCATGCATGCTAGGCAAGCACTCTACCACTAAGCCACATTCTCAGCCCCTCTTTGTGAGTTTTTATGGGGCACCTCCTCAGTGTTAGTTTATAGAAGGTTCAGTTAACTCTGAGAGCCTGAAGTATAACTCTATACCACTATAACTCAGTTTGAAGGCTATAGTTGTTCATGTTTGGGCAGTTCTGATCACCTCCTCTTCCTCCTCCTCCTCTTCCTTTCTTCTCCTCCTCACCTTCTGCTGTTTCTGCTGCTGCTTCTGATTCTCCACCTTTTCTTTCTTTCTTCCTCTTCTTCTTCCTCCTCTTCTTCTCCTTCTTTATGAGATAGGGTCTTACTTTGTAGTTCTGAGTAGCCTAGAGCTCCCAATCCTTCTGCCTCAACATCCTGAGCATCAGGATTGCAGGCATGTGCTATCACCCGTGATCTAACCAGCTTCTTACCTAATGTAATAGCTTCCAGGATTCCCTCTAGGTAGTGGTACTGGTAGAATTAACAGTTGGAGTAATCATTACAGTAGGCAGTATGTCTATGTGACTGACTTTGGCTTGGCAGAGAATAGTGCCATGGAGACTTTCTATATTGCTCCCCATGAACACACACACACACACACACACACACACACACACACACACACACACACACACACACACACACACACACCACATACACACACACCAAGGAGGATTTCTGAACCCTGGTGCCCATCCTCCTTCATTCACTCTTGTCCCACCCATGGCTTGGCACACAACAGGTCATGGCATACAGTGGAAATCACAGAATGTCTGTATTTCTGTCTAGGTTAGAGCTGCTCTTGCTGCCCCTGCACCTCCTTGGGATGGTGCTGGGGATCCCTGCATAAGTCCAAAGCTGCTGAACGGGTCTATTGGTGCCATTGCCCCCCTGGAACCATCAGCCATGAATCTGTGTTGGAATGAAATAAAAAAGAAGTCTCACAATCTCCGGTAAGGCCTGGCCCATAGAAACTGATACCTTAGGGAATGAGACAGTATCAGGCTGTTTTACCTGTTGTGGCTTGTTATACTCCACTCAGTCTATGGATCCTCCTTTCCTTGGCCTCATCACCTACTTCTCCCCATCCTTTTCCTGGCACTAGGGAAAGAACTCTGAGTTAGAAATCATGAAATTTGCTGGACACTGGTGGCTCATGCCTGTAATCCTAGCTACTCAGGAGGCTGAGATCTGAGGATCATGGTTCAAAGCTAGCCCAGGCAGGAATGTCCATGAGACTCTTGTCTCCAATTAACCTCCAGAAAACCAGAAGTGATGCTCAAGTGGTAGAGCCCTCATCTTGAACTGAAGAGCTCAGGGACCACGACCAGGCTCAGAATTCAAGACTCACAATCAACAACAACAACAAAAAAAAATCATGAAATTTATATTTGAGCCTCCATTTTAAATCTTGGGCAAGTTGTTTGACTTCTTAGAATTTTAGCTTCTACTTATTCTATATTTTATGGGAAAAATGAGTGGAGGAATGATGCCTGCCCTCACTGACTCATAGAGTAGCCACAAGGTTTGAAGCAATATTTAGAAACATTTTCTAAATATAAATATGTTGATGAGGAAGTGAGGGTGATGGTGACTCCCCCTCTTTGTCTCCCTGTCTTTTACCTTGATGGGTCTTAGTGTTTGCTTTTCCATGTCTTTATGTCTTCTACTCCCACTCATGGGCTATTAGCTCAGGTAAGTGCAACTCCATAAGATCCTGAAGTCAATCTCTATATGTTATTCGCTTTCCCCTATCCCTATGTGTATGCCTGTCATCTTCTTCTCCACCCTGTACCATCAAAGCCCCTGGCCTATTGTAGGCTTTGGTGGGATGAGGAGTCAGATAAACCTGGGTTCAGATCATAATTCTGCCAGTGACTTAGCTATATGATTGTAGACAAACCATTTAACCTCTCTGGGTGATAGTAATGCCCACTCCAGATCATTGTGAGACAAAGGAGTGGCCCAGGCAGAAGAAAGCAAAGGTAGAGAGTTGTTATTGCCAGATAAGATCTACACACAGCCTTGATCACATTCCAACTACCTACTACTTGTATTTCATATCAAGTTTCATTTAGGGGTCAGGGAAGGAGGACAAAGATGAGTACATGGCATACATTTTCCTTATTGCATAACGCTAGCCAATGCTTTAGTCATCCTTTGGATCCCTCAAGCTGCTTACAGTTGTACACATCCTTGCCCATGTGGAGTACCCAGGATCAACCATCAACCCTGCCCATCCCAAGTACTGCAATCTCTCCTGCTCACACAAGGCTGGGAGCAGCCCCTCCAGAAAAGCAATTTGATGTAACTTAGATTTTTTCCAGGACAAGTGGGGAACCAGACAGCTGTCACCCCTAACGCCTTTCCTCACTTTCCTACCCTTCCTGTCTTACTGCTGAGTGTGCAATGAAAGTAACTGACAACCAGCATATCATTTTAAACCATTTGACTGTGGGATAACTACTTACCTACAGGCCAAAAAGTTGACTTTAATATGGTACTTCACCCAGAGAGACCTCAGGAGCTTCTGTGGGTGGGTAAGAGATGAGTTCAGGCCTCCTTCCATTTCAGCTAGGGCAGCAACTGTTGAAATCATTTTATATGTTAAGGTTCCACATATGTGTTTATTTGGAAAAATATATTTTGCCACTTAAAAAGAAGATTGAACATCATTAGTCTTACGTGTTGTATGCAGCGCTCGCCTAGAGGCCTTCTCAGACCACAGTGGAAAACTCCAGCTCCCGCTCCAAGAGATTATTGACTGGCTCAGCCAAAAGGATGAGGAGTTGTCGGCTCAGCTTCCCCTACAAGGAGATGTATCCTTGGTGCAGCAGGAGAAGGAAACACACGCGGTAGGTTAGAATCATGGAAGCATGTCATGTAACCTCTCAGTGACAAAGGGATCCTTTCCACCATACCCTGACAGTCAGGCCTTCAGTTCTGCTTTGACACCTAAAGCAGAACAAGGTGGCCCACAGCCTTGCTAGTTTGTAGGGAGCACTCTACAGGTCTTTCCATCCTATTTAAAATCTTCCCTTAGCTAGGTGCTGTGGCTTACACCTGTAATCCTAGCTATGCAGGAGGCTGAGATCTGAGGATTGGGGTTTGAAGCTAGCCTAGGAAAATTTTTGTCTGTGAGACTCTTATCTCCAATTAACCAGCAAAAAGCCAGAAGTGGAGGTGGGATGAAGTGGTAGAGCACCAGCCCCAAGCAAAAAAGCCAAGAGAAAATACTCAGCCCCAGTACTGGCACACATGTGCACACACGCATACTCTCTCTCTTTCTCTCTCTCTCTCTTTCTCTCTCTCTCTCTTTCTCTCTTTCTCTTTCTCTCTCTTTCTCTCTTTCTCTCTCTCTCTCTCACACACACACACACACACACACACTTGATTTTTAGTGGAAGAATATGGAAATGACAGTGTAATGTTAAGTAAAATCATGCATATGAATCTCAGTTGGATAAAATGTGTATAGATGTGTGCAGAAGAGAGGCAGCTAGAGCAAAATGGAATGGTAAACATGGTTAATTAACTTCGATGACAAAATTGGAATTATTTTTAATTTAATTTTTCATACTTTTGTTCATTTTTAATGTTTCTATGGTATATATTGCCTCTATAAAACAAATGCAGGATGCAACACCAAATAATATAAAAGAACACATATAATTGCATGGTATGGCATCATTTGCAGTGGTGGGGAACTTTTATACTGCCAAAAGCCTCTTGTATATTTGTTTGCTTGTTCATTTTATTTCATTTTTTTGCCTGTCCTGGGGCTTGAACTTAGGGCCTGGGCGTTGTTCACTTGCCTCTTTGTACTCAAGGGTAGCTCTCTACCACTTGAGCTACAGTGCCACTTGCAGCTTTTTCTGCATAGTTTATTGGAGATAAGAGTCTCACAGACCTTCCTACCTGGACTGGCTTTGAACTGAGAAACTCAGATCTCAGCCTCCCGAGTAACTAGGATTACAGGCATGAGCAACTGGGTGCCTGACTCATTTGCATATTTATAATATCATTAATGGGCTTAGATTTATTGAATTTTGCTTTGGAGAAAAAAACTCTGAAATTTACTGACTGTTTCATACCACTTATAGTTTCTTTGATTTCCTGTACAGGGCCAGGCCAAATGATTTCACAAGCCTTATATGGTCCTCACAACAAACATTCCCTACCCAACCTTGGTGGGAGCAGGCAGTGTATTGAGTGGGTAAAAGGCAGATGTGAATGGGTACACTGTGTGATGATATAAGGTTCAAAAGTAGGCAAAACGAATGGGTGATTTTACAAGTTACTGTTGAAGATATTGAAGCAGGATAGGAAGAGATCTAGGTGGTTGTCTCAGTAGTGCTCCAGAGGTGAAATTTGCTCTATGGAATTCAACAAACTAAACACTTTTTATTTGTATGTTCTATTTATATTTTCAAAAACTACAATCAAAATCTTACTAGAAATTCTCTTATCTGGCTTTTAATTTCTCTAAACACCTTACAGGGAACTGTATGCCTTTTCTAGAAAACAAAGATCACCTCTACATTTCTCTCTCTGTCATGGCCAGACTCATTCCCAGTATTATCTATTCTTGGGCCTGTAGGGAGGGCTATATCACTTCTTTTCCAGGTAACCCCACACTATCTAGTAATTTATTGAGAAGTAAGATTAATTGCAGGATGGAATTAAAAGCAATTGAGACACTTTTTTTTTCTTGTTAACCATCCTGCTAAACTTCACAGGCCTTTATGGAAGAAGTTAAGTCACGGGGCCCTTACATCTACTCTGTGCTGGAGTCAGCTCAGGCCTTTCTGTCCCAGCACCCATTTGAGGAACTAGAGGAGCCTAATTCTGAGAGCAAAGGTAAGTGGTATTCCACTCTTCACCCCTTCCTTTTTAAACTGCTTTTCCCCATACTCATTTTCTCACCTAATGTCTGGTAAGATAGTTTCATTTTATGAATCCAGTTAGGAGGAGCAAGATTCATAATCATAAGAAAAGGCAAAAAGAGCAGAATCTGAAGCAGGGATCATGAGCATGTCACCCAATGCTATATGTGGCTCTTTGGAGGATCACATGTGAGATATTGGTTTTTGTTCGTTTGGATTTTGTTACTTTTTTGATAGTACTGGTATTTGAACTTGGGGCCTCACATTTGTTCAGCTTCGTTGCTTGACTAACACTCTATCACCTGAGACACATCTCTACCTGGATTTTTGCTGGTAAATTGGAGATGGAGTATCATAGCCTTTTTTTTTTTTTTTGCCCTGGCTGGCCTTGAACTGCAATCTTCTAGATCTCAGTTTTTTGAATAGATAGGGTTACAGGCATTACCCGGGATCACCCAGCCATTTTTAAATAAAGTATGAGAATTTTTTTAAAATCAAATGAAATGAACAGATTTATCAAGTAAAAATAGCGGTATGGTTCTTAAAAAAAATATTTTGCTATATTCAAAATAAAGAGATGTGATGATGCAGTTATCAACCAGCAACAAAAAGAATAGCCTTAAAATCTAAAAAGTTAGGTAATTGTGGTCCTTTGATACAGCTCTGGCTTTCTCTTTCACTTAATAAAGGTACCCTGACTAGAATCAAATAAGGTGATAAGGTAGAATCCCTGAAGATTAGTTCTGAGTGGTGGTCTAGCAAGTCCCCTTTTCCAGAGAGAATTCTGAACCCTCTAAAATAGGTGTGAACAAGATGGAAAAGATCCTTCATTGAGCCCTTTGTCAATTCTGTTTACTTTCTCAATTTATTTCTAGGCTCTCAATAGGAGAGCTAGTACTTAATTTGCTGCCCAATAGGCCTCAGGACAAGTTCAAGACAGAACAAGATAATTCCAATTAGCTTAGAGCTTTGGGGCTCTGAATCTTCTTGGAAGTGGAAGTCTAAGGGACAAAGAAGAAACCTAAACCGAGTAGAGTAGAAGAGCTGGGGGTATTAATACCAATCTCTCCTAGACTAAGACTTAATAAAATGTCTCCCTGCTTTGAATATTAAATCAACAGTAGACACTAATGGGCAAATCACATTCCAGGATCATATGAATAGGACTTAGATGATTTGTCTCTCGACTCCTCTTCTAATATGTTGTCATTTTAAAAAAAAATGTAATTGACAGGCTGGGAATGTGGCTTAGTGGTAAGGTGCTTGTCTTGCAAGCATGAAGCCCTGGGTTCAATTCCTCAGTACCACATACACAAAAAAAGCCAGAAGTGGTACTGTGGCTCAAGTCATAGAGTGCTAGCCTTGAGCAAAAAGAAGCTCAGGGACAGTGCCTAGACCCGAAGTCCTAGCCCCAGGACTGGCAAAAAAAAAAATCATTATTGAAAAGTTGATGAGCAGGTTGTTACAGTTACATAACTAAGGTAATGAGTACGTTTGTTTGTTTGTTTTTTTCAGGTAAGGGGTAGGTTTATTCATAATTCTGGCTGGCACCAGGCCATCTTGGCCCTCCACGTGGCTGGGAAAGGCCTGGGAAAGACCTGGGAAAGAGCTGGGAAAAGAGGGCGTCTGGGCCTGGGCTAGGCCTTATCTAGGGTATGAGTGGAAAAAGGTGTGGCCACATCAAATTCAGATGTGACCTCAGTGGATGCAGATGTGACCTCTTCCAGGTGTGCCAGTTGCCTAGGTAATGCAGGTACTGGGTGGAGACTTTGCTGTGAGGAGGGTGGAGCTGCCCATCATCCAGGAGCGGACCTTACATTCCAGCCTTTTAGTAATCATGAAATTGGGCACAGATTCTCTCTGGCTACTTCCTGCTGACAAGGGGTATTGACATTAGGGATAAAAGGCTGGAATTTGGTCCCAGAGAAGGCAGTGAGCAGCAGCTGTCCCTTGCTGGCATGAGTCCTTAGATGAAGTCTGGAGAAATCTCATGAGGCATTGAGGGGCTGGAAAAAATACTAGAGAGCAAATAAATGGCAAGAGGAAGGACTTGGGTCTGAAAATGTTGGTAGAAATGTCCCTAGCTACTTCTGACATCTGGTGACTAGGTAGAGGAGAAGTCAGGTAGCAAAGGCAAGAATATAAATTTCTGTCCGGTTAATAGGTAGACAGGTATAGACATTGGATGGGCAGGCTTCTTGCTTCTATTGACCTCCCAGCTCTGGTTAATTTTGAAAGGGCAGACACAAAGTAGCTGATATGACATCATCTCCTCTTACTCCTCTCCATGATCCCTTGTTCCCCAGACTGGCTGAGTCTAGGTGCTCGTTGCTGGGATGGCTTGTCCCAGTTGGTATTCAAGGAGGTTTGAACTCAAGGCCTGGGCACTATTCCTGAGCACTTCTGCTTAAGGCTAGTGCTCTACCACGTTGAGTTACAGTACCACTTCCAGTGTTTGCCTGGTTAGAGATAAGAGTCTTGAGCCATGCTTCCAGCCTGGCTCTTTGCAGGTTAGTTGGCAGATGGAGTCTGCAAAAGCCCTTTATTATTTCCAATTAAAGCAACAAGGAGATCAAATATAATAGAGCTTACCTGGTCCTTATCAAGAATTGACCAACAAATATTCTGCAATGACAAAACTTGTTAGATGTGATGAGAATTTTACCACAGATAGGCCCAGAATTTTAGAACCATGTAGTCAGTAGTAGAATACACAACACAAACAAAAAAGGCAAAACTCAAAATCTAAAATTTTTGCCAACAATGTGTAGACATCTTTGCTAACAAAACACATCAGATGGTTGGGCCTCACTTATCAAGGCCTGTGAAAAGAGCAACTTGTTAGCAAGGTACCTTAGAATAGATGGATGGAGTGGTAAGCTTGGTGGAAGGTTAAGGGTCAGATGGCGCCAAACCCTTAACCCACCATGTGGCCAAGATGGCAAATTCAAGACAGCAAATTGCTGAAAAAAATGCAAAGAAACCCTGAACAAATAGATCAAGCCTACATTGGCTAGCCTTTGAGAGGGAACCTAGAGGGGGGGTCCCCGGGGCCCAGCCTGCATCTCACTCTTCAGGGCACAAGCCAAAATGTAGAAAAGAGAAAGAGAGAGATAGGGAAAGTTGGACATGACTGGCAGAGAGAGAGCAAAGAGAGCCTGAAAATAAACAGACTTCTGACCATTCACCATTGCAGTGGCAAAAACTGTCTACATCTGAGTATGGCATAAAAATTAGGCGCTCTGGCTTTCCAGGGAGCGCAGGAGGCATTTCAAAGGGGTTTCACAGCTTGGGTGTGGCTTGCAGCACCCCATTAATTGTGTAGGAGAGTCAGTCTGGTGAGTGAAGGAAAGCTGACCAGGCAGAGGCAGCATCCCGACTTCCCCCAGAGCAGTCTAGAGAGAAATGGCCAAGCCCCCAAAACCAAGCATCCTTGGCTTCAGAGGTGACCGGCCTTTCAGCTAAAGGCCATAGGAGCTCTCTGGCATGACATCACGTCTGGACAGAGACTGAGCAACAGAGAGCCGTAGAGTATAGTTTCACTCACCAGAGTAGAGAAGTGATGTGGACGTGGATGTGAAGGCCAGCAATGGCATCGATGCACTGTGTCTGCAACAGACAGAATGGTTCACAAAAGGCCATCAGAACTGTGGGTATTCCTCAGAGCAAAAAGGGAAGAACAAACAAAAAAAGAAAAAAGAGGGGGAAAAAACAGAGAGGAATCCCACCTATCCTGACTTTAAGCCCTTTATCCGAGTCACAGCACCATTTATGTTAGGTTTTTAAAAAGAGGTAGCCGAGTAAGAACAGTACCACGCACGTGGTATTCAGGTAAGGGGTAGGTTTATTCAGTAGACCTGGCACCAGGCCATCTTGGCCCTCCATGTGGCTGGGAAAGGCCTAGGAAAGACCTGGGAAAGAGCTGGGAAAAGAGCAGTACATTTGTTTTTAAACTTGCCATGTTGTTTTTTTTTAATGTAAGGAAATCCACCATAATATAGGATGGAGCAAAACTGTCTCTTGAATGTGGTGGTGGATACATGAACCAACATGTGATAGTACTGCACAGAACTACATATGCATATGAATATACATAAACACCCCCAGAATGAATACAAATAAAACTAGGGGACACTTAATAAAACTAATGGGTTATGTCAATGTCAAACCCTGGGTGGGACATTGTACTACCATTTTACCAATTGTGGGTAAAGGACATATGAGATTTCTGTGCTATCCTTTACAATTGCACATGAACCTAAAACCATGTCAAAATAAATAGTTTGTTTTTGAAAAACTAAATGAGCAATAGGCATTTGCCCATGGAAAATATGTATTTGTATAAGTATGAATATATACACAAGCAAGCACACACATACACACATTTTACAAAGGGGGGGTTCTTTGTCTCTGCCTTTTCCTGGGTCTCCCCTCCCTAGTTAGCCTGACCTGGCTTCCTGACTGCACTTGCAGATACCTCCCCCAGACAGCGGATCCAGAATCTTAGCCGCTTTGTATGGAAGCAGGCAACTGTAGCCAGTGAACTATGGGAGAAGCTGACAGCCCGTTGTGTGGACCAGCACCGCCATATTGAGCACACTCTAGAACAGTTGTTGGAGATCCAAGCAGCAATGGAAGAGTTGAGCACTACTTTGACCCAAGCTGAGGGAGTCAGAGCCACATGGGAGCCCATTGGGGATCTGTTCATTGATTCACTCCCAGAACACATCCAAGCTATTAAGGTATGCAGACCCTCTCCTGGCTACAATCCCCAGTGAGACTTGACAATATTACCCCTGCTGAGACTCCTTTGTTGGCCTGGACTACAATTCAGACTCTCTTGATTTATTTTCTAGATTTGGGACTGGTTTGTATATAGTCCTCGTTGTTCTATTGTCTTCTCTTTTCCTGGTTTTTGGCGATGAGGAGAAGAAGCCATAAACTGTGGCCACCAACATCTTAGTCTAGTTGCCTAGCCAAACACTGCTATTGTGTTGTTGAAGCAAAACTTCTGGATGGAAAGGGAGGAGTTGAGGTGAATGACTAACAGGTCCTCTTTCCCACTCTCTGTCTGTTGTGACACTTGTGTCCTGGTTCTCCAGCTGTTCAAAGAAGAATTCTCCCCTGTGAAGGATGGAGTGAAGTTGGTGAATGATCTGGCCCACCAACTTGCCATTTCTGATGTACACTTGTCAATGGAGAATTCTCGGGCTCTGGAGCAGATTAACATCCGGTGGAAACAACTCCAGGTAGAAGAGTGATTTGGAGTGAGCCATGAGAAAGCTTGGGGGAAACTGCTGAAATGAAACCTACATGGAAAAGCATTAGTACCAAATGTGCAGGCCAGAAACAACTTCTTAATTCCTAGGCCTCAAGGAGTGATGGAACCGAAGAAGTAGAAGGGCTTATCTAGATGTGGACACTCAGGGAAGACAGAAACCAGGGAAGAGTGACTGAAATTAGGGAGGCATTTCCTGGAACTGCTCAAGGAGGGCTAGGAGTAGGATGATGGTGGGAGGAGCTAGAACAGGGAAAAAAAAAACAGCTTATGAGAGCACAGAAAGATCCCAGGGGTACCCACACAGCCCATGTTAAATAGCTGACATGAATCCACAACTTTCCTATCTGTTCTTTTATAGGCATCGGTTGGTGAGAGGCTTAAACAGCTCCAGGATGCTCACCGAGACTTTGGGCCTGGGTCCCAGCACTTCCTATCCTGTATGTGAGCCAAACTGAATTTCACTTAGCAGAACCTTAGCTGCTATTGTTCCCTTGGGGGCAGTAAGGATACAGCAATGTAGTATAGTGATGAAAAGAACAAACTCCTCAGAAATATCCAGGTCTTAGTCACTGTATCTTAATAGCTGTGAAAACTTGAAAAAATAGCATAACTCTATCTCAATTTTCTCATCTGCAAACGGGAATGTTACCTAGCTCAGTAGGCTATAAAAATTAAGTGACATTTTTGTTCAACAATATTTATTGTGGGCCAAGTACTTTTATGAGCTTTGGAGCCATATTAGTAAACAAAACAGACAGAACTGCTTAGACATGGACAGCTTACATTCTAATAGAGGACACCAGATCAGAAACAAATGAATAAAAGATGTATAAGGTCAATTATGGGAGTACTGTGGGGAAAATAAAGACATGAAGGCATGTATAGAGAGTTCTGGATTTAAAAGGAAGAGGTGTTGTAGCGGTCTTCATAGGAGGACAGTTGGGCAGAGAAATATAGGAGGTGAGTATGAACTATGTGGGTCTCCAAGGGAAGAACATTCTAGGCAATGATTCTAGTTCCTTAAAGCAGGAACATGCTGAGGGACAAAGGAAGGCCGTGAGAAAGAGAACAAAGAGACAAGAGCAGGAAGGCCATAACACAGATAATTTTGAGGGTGAAAATAAGAACATTAAGGTTTGTTCCAAGTGGAATAAAGAACATTTGAGAAGATTTGAGGTGAAGGATGACATCATCTATTGTATGCTTCAAGAATAAATTGTTAAATATAAATTGCTGAGGGGAAAGAATGAGAGCAGAGAGACCAGTTAGGAGGCAAATTGCAATAATCTAGATGAGGGATGATGGTGGCCCAGATCAAGGGATTAGCAGTGGAAATGATGAGAATTCACAGAAAAGAAAAATTAGATATGCTTCCCCAAAGCATGAGCATGGTATCTAGCACATTGCTGGAGCTCAATAAATGTTAACAATGGGTAGAATTATTACAATTTAAATAGTAATATGTGGCCATACACATATACTATACTCAGAGCCTCTTCTGAAAGATCATGAAAGATAAAGACATGGGGCTGAAGGGGTATGGGTGTCTAGAGTTCCTCATGAGAGAGAAAAGGGCACTACCATTTCCCTCTGTCCCACAGGGCTGAGAACATTGGTCTAAGGGGAAGGGTTTGGAGTCCCATGAAGAAAGTAAACTTTATATCCACAGAAGCAGCCTGCAGTTTGAATGGATAAAATGGCAGTCTGCTTAGGGAGAAGAATGTTAGGGTGGTCATGGTGATCAAGTATTTTTGCCCATGCCGTAGCCATGTCACTCATATGTCAGGGCATCAGTGGCAACTTCTTCCTTCTCTTCTCTCTAACATCAGGGAGACAAGTATGTTTATTAGAAGTGATAACCCTATCCTCCAGGGCTATTAACAATTGGCAGCAAGGGGCAGATATATCTTTGGGGGACTTATCACCTTTTGGGAAGATAGAATAGGGCAATGGCCAGGAGGCTTGAAGAATATCATTGGCCAACTTTCTTTCTCTTCTTTACTAGCCTCTGTCCAGGTTCCCTGGGAAAGAGCAATTTCACCTAATAAAGTTCCTTACTACATCAAGTAAGTGATTATCAGAATCAGACATGGGTCAATCACCTCCTCACTTGTTTGTCTTTTTGCCAATCATCTCTGTTAGTTCTTGTCCTGGGAATTTCTCCATCCAGTCTCATTTTCCTCCTACTCAGAGCACAAGATTTTACTTGGGTAAGGTGTACTCTTATGCTCTGGAATCTTGAGAGTTCACCTACAGCCTGTTGCATCCAATCTGATTGGTGATTGATGTGTGCATATAGGTGTTGGGTATGAGGATGTTGGTGCTATTGATGATTTTGTTTGTAGTCACCAGGCTCAGACCACATGTTGGGACCATCCCAAGATGACTGAGTTATACCAAACCCTAGGTAAGAATGTGGGGTTTCTGTGTAGGGTGGGGATGTGTACAGCTGTCCTATAATGTCCATCAGTAAAGAGGTGTGGAAAAAGAAAATACATTATAGATACAAAATGGAATACTTCTTAACCTTAAAACACCATTTGTGACAATTGGAATGGGCCTGAACTTAAGAGAAATAAGCTAGACTCAGAAAGAAAAATACCACATAAACCCACTTATATAAGAAACCTAAAATAGTCGACTTCACTGGGTGCTGGTGGCTCATAGCTTTAATCCTAGCCACTCAGAAGGCTGAGATCTGAAGACTGTGGTTCAAAGCCAATCTGGGCAGGACAGTCCATGAGACTCTTATCTCCATTTAACTACCAGAAAACTGGAAGTGTATCAAGTGTTAGAGCACGGGTTTTTAGTTAAAAAAAAAAAAATGCTCAGGGATAGTGCCCACGACCTGAGTTTAAGTCTCAGAACTGGCACAAAAATAAATGAATAAATAAATGCATAAATACATTTGGTCAAATTCATGGACTCTCAGAGTAGAATTGTGGTTGTCAGGCTAAAGAGGAAGAAATGGAGAAATATTCATCAAAGTCTTCAAAGATGGATAAGTCCTACAGTCCTATTGAATAGCATATTGCCTATAGTTAACAATATTATTTTTATATTTACAAATTTAAGAGGGTAGATCTTACACTAAGTGCTCTAATGACCTATACACAAATTATAGAAGATAGGAGGAAACTTGCAGATGATGATAGTTTCATGGTGTTTCAAGACTCACTAAGCTGTATGCATTACATTTGTACAGCTTTTTCTGTGGCAGTCATACTGAAATAAAGTGATTTAAAGAAAAGGACATTTCAGTCAATAAACAAGTGGGGTGGAAGTGAATGCTTAGTCCTTTCTTCCACAATCTTCATTCCTTTCCCCTCTGCATTTTCCTCATGTGCAGGCTGTACATTTTCCCCAGGAACACTTTTTCATCACACTAGGATGCTTGTAAGCGTGAGGACTAATCTCCTTTGAAAGATGCTGTCTAGGGCTGGGAAGGTGGCTCAGTGGTAGAGCGCTTGCCTTGCATGCATCAGGCCCTGGGTTCGATTCCTCAGCACCACAAAAGCAAAAAGAAAAAAGCCGTAAGTGGTGCTGTGGCTCAAGTGGTAAAGCGCTAGCCTTGAGCTGAAGAGCTGAGGGACAGCGCCCAGGCCGAGTTCAGGCCCCACGACCAGAACCCCCCCCCCCCAAAAAAAAGAAAGATGCTGTCTAGATGGCAATGAGTATGAATTTTGGGAGCTTCATCTTTGCCTCCCAAGAGAAACTCATGGCCTGATATAGTGGCTCAAGCCTGTAATCTGAGCTACTTAACAGATGGAAATAGAAAGGATCAGAGTTCAGGGAAAAAGTTAGCAAGACTCCCATCTCAACCAAAAGTCAAGTACAGAGGTATGTACCTGTCTTCATAGATAACCAGAGAGCATAAATAGGAGAATCAGTCTGAGGCTGGCCATAACAAAAACATGAGACCCTACAAAAATACAGCTTCAAGCCAGGCATTGGTGGTTAATGCCTAAAATTCTAGCTACTCAGAAGACGGAGATCTGAGAATCATGGTTCAAAGTCAGTCCAGGCAGAAAAATCTGCAATATTTTTATCTCCTATTAACCAGCAAAAAGCCAGAAGTAGAGGTGTGGCTTAAGTGGTCTAATGTCAGCCTTGAGCAAAAAAAGCTAACTGTGAGTATGAGACCCCAAGTTTAAGCCCCAGTATTACAAAAAAAAAAAAAAACATTACAAGGCAAATTTTGTCCTGGATGCATGTGATTAGTTCACTTTTTGAGGTCATAGATTGTACCATCAGATACAGCAGTGTCTTCATCCATCTTCTGTTGGTAAACACACAGCTTTCTGGTTTGTAGCTCAAAGAATAATATTGTGGAGGAGTTCTTGTACATGTCTTCTGCTTAATGTATTCAAGGGATTCTCTAAGACATGCTTTTGGTCTATAGGTCATAATAACATTTCAGTGGGTTGTAACAAGCTTTTGAAAAACTGAAATATATTGGGAAATATCAATGGGTAACAGATCTTTAGCAAGAGTCAGATTTTGTATTCATTTTACACGTTTATCTTATTAAATCAAGTAATAAACTGCTTTCTGAAATATGTATGTATATATTGGATTATGATAGAAAATGAACTTCCTACAATGAGTCTTCATCAAAAAAATGTAAATTATTGCTGTGGGGTATGTATAGTTTGCTAGGTGGTAGGATATGTGAGAGTTCCATTTTACTAGATAATACCAGGTTGTTTTCCAAGGTGATTATATTAGTTCACACTTCTACTGGCAGCTGTCATTCATGCATATCCTGTTCACACTTGCTATTGTCAGACTTCTATTTTATGCCAAGCTGGTGGGTGAAATATGGTATCTTGTTGTAGTTCTAATTTGCATTTCCATCATCTGAGTGGAACTCTTTCCATTTTTTTGCAGCTGATCTGAACAACATTAAGTTCTCAGCTTACCGCACTGCCATGAAGCTCCGCAGAGTCCAGAAGGCCCTGCGCTGTAGGTGTCCCTTGCAATTTCTGGTGGCTTTTTCTTTTCCTTTAAATTTTATTGTAAAGGTGATGCACAAGAGTGTTACAGTTACATAAGTAAGGTAATAAGTACATTTCTTTTTGAACAATGTATCACCTCCTTCATTTTCTCCCAACTTTTCCACTCCTGTGACTTTTACTCCCATCCTCCTGATCTTTATCTGGATGCTTCTTTTCCCCATTTTCATCCATCTTAGTCAGGAGTGTTGATTGTCTTCATGGGAACTCTCCAAAAATTGAGAATATGCTGGCTGTAGACATATGCTCTTTCCAGGATTCTTCCATTTCCCTCAAGCCACACATTAACCCCATAGGTATCTAACTACTTGTCTCCTTTCCCTTGATCAACATGGAAAATCAATCAACAACTAGGTGCCAGTGGCTCACGTCTATAATCCTAGCTACTCAGGAAGCTGAGATCTGAGGATTGCAGTTTTAAGCCGGTCAGACAGGAGAGTCCAGAAGAGGCTTATCTTCAATTAATCACCAAGACTCGGGAAATGGAGCTGTGGATCAGGTATTAGAGCACCAGCCTTGAGCAACAGAGCCAAACAAGAGTGCAAGGCCTTGAGTTCCAGTCCCAGTACTGATGCACAAAAGGAAAAAAAATGAAAAAGAAAATCAAGGAACTGCTTTGTGACAGGAAATATTCTAGCTTATGGTGTGCCTTAATGAGGTTATTGGATGTTTTTTTTTTTTTGGTCGGTTGTGGGGCTTGAACTCTGGACCTGGGCGCTGTCCCTCAGCTCTTCAGCTCAAGGCGAGCGCTCTACCACTTGAGCTACAGCGCCACTTCTGGTTTTCTGGTGGTTTATTGGAGATAGGAGTCTCACGGTCTCTCTTGCCCGGGCTGGCTTTGAACCGCGATCCTCAGATCTCAGCCTCCTGAGTAGCTAGGATTACAAGCGTGAGCCACCAGCGCCCGGCTGAGGTTATTGGATTTAACAGCAAATATCAGTGTTTTGGGGATCAATGTGGCCATTTCTCAGAGGTACTTTTCATTCAAGCTTCCTGGCCCAAGAATATCTGGCTAGGCTGTTAGCATTGGGGATAATGAAAATGGCCTCTTATACATAACATTTACCCAGCCATATCTGATTCTTCACAAACAATATCTACAAAACCTATTTACAGTTGAAATCTATGTAAACACAGAGTAACTTAAAATGAAGTATGATTCCTTAGGAATCTATGCAATGTGAGAAAATGAGTATTCACTTATCATCATCATCTTGAAACTTGTATCAAAGAACATATGGTTATAGAAATATGTTGGGTCAATTTAGAGGACTTTTTTACTGCCTTCCAATTCCTTGGTAAAGGAAAAACTTTTATTTATTATTATCCTTATGTAGTTGTTCAAAGGGATTTCAAGTAAACATGTCAGTTTGTGAGTACAATGCATCTCAAACAAGGTGACTAGTTTCATCATTCTCCCCCATCTTTCTAGCCCCCATGCATTTCCTCAATTTACCTAGTTCAATTTTCACATATTAACAATTATGCATTTGGCCATATTTTCTCTCTATTCATATGCCTATCCCCCTTTGACCTTACCCCCACCCTGACAATACGTGTTCAAGCTTCCTAGTTTTCATTTTGTTAGACTGTGAGTTAGATGTTCAAAGGAGTTACACCATGAGTTAGTTGTTCAAAGGAGTTACACCATTGGAATACTCCCCTATATATACATTGTACTTTAGTTAACATGTTTGTATATATATGCATCTGACCTTGTATATATGTGCACATATATTTATAATTTAGATCTAACTTCCATATTTGAGAGAAAATATGTCCTGTCCCTCACAGCCTTAGTTCACATAATTTTTTGAGGTTTATCCATTTCTCTGCAAAAGACATAATCTCATTTTTCCATATTTGTAAATGGCCTGAAGATTGATTCAAATTTGGGACTGCTGGTATCTTTATCTCTTGGTCTATTCTCCCAAGAATCTACTTTTGGCTCCATTCTTCCCCTCTCTCATCTCCTTTCCAGTGGATCTAGTAACATTAACTACGGCCCTGGAGATCTTCAATGAACATGATCTGCAAGCCAGTGAACACGTGATGGATGTGGTGGAGGTCATTCACTGCCTGACTGCCTTATACGAGCGGCTGGAGGAGGAGAGAGGCATCCTAGTCAATGTGCCACTATGTGTAGACATGAGTCTCAACTGGCTCCTCAATGTGTTTGATAGGTAGTGACTTTTGGGCCTGGTGATCTCTAAGATAAATTCAATGAGATATTTCCAGTGGTCCTGGTGGGAAGGGGTTGCTGTCATGGTGGACTTAGACCCAACTCAGCATGGGCCACAGATGGCCTGAGTCCTACTGGGGTCAACCTAGTCAAGAAAATTACTGTCAACATGTTAACCCTTTACATATCCTCATGTTCTCATTCTCTTCTTTTTAACCTAGTGGTCGCAGTGGAAAGATGCGGGCATTGTCCTTTAAGACTGGCATTGCATGCCTGTGTGGCACAGAAGTGAAGGAAAAACTTCAGTGTGAGTACAACCAGAGTCTTATGTAGTGTTGTTGGGAGAGGTACTGCAAGGAGGAGAAAGGGTATAAGATAAGCAGAAGGAAGGTCATATGAATTTACAGAGGGGGTACTTGTATACCTTAGACTGCTTCCTGACGCTGGCTATTACAAAAACAAAATACATGATAGACAAAGGCCAAGATGGGCCTAAGGCTGGTTTTTATTGCTGGTGTCACTCTGGGGGTTTTGGTTTCTTCTGATCCAGTTCATCTGTTTAGACTCTGCACTGACTTCCTGGAGATCCTGACTTTCTTCTTCTAGTCCTCATGGCCTATCAGGCATAGCTGTCTTGTATCTGGAGCTCTAGCCATGTCTCACATTCTCTTAGAGATTTCTCCTGTCATTACACAGACACAGTTCAATACTGACCATTTTCCCAGGAGGTAGAAAATGTAGGGGTTTTTGGGGGGCGGGAGAGGGTGGTCACAGGGCTTGAACTCAGAGCCTGGTCACTATCCTTGAGCCCTTTTGCTCAAGGCTAATACTCTACCTATTTGGGCTACAGCACCACTTCTGACTTGGGGATGGTTAATTGGAGATGAGTCTCAAGGATTTTCCTGCTTGGGCTGGCTTTGAACCATGATCCTCAAATCTCAGCCCCTGAGTAGCTAGGATAACAGGCATGAGCCACCAGTACCTAGCCACTTGTGTAGTTTTTAACCTCTGTGGTTTATGATCTGTTTGTTTTCTACTCCTTCCTCCATTGTGCTCAGCACTTTGGACTTTTCTGAAGCAGTATCATTAAGTGTTGAATCCTAAGAGGTATTGACTTCTCTAGTAAATGGAATGAATGCTAGGTTAAATTAGATGAGGTCAAGCTGGGATTGGTGGCTCATTCCTACAATCCTAGCTACTCAGCAGGCTGAGATCTGAGAATCATTGTTCAAAGCTAGCCCAGGCAGGTAAGTCTGTGAGACTCTTATCTCCAATTAACAACCAGAAAACCAGAAGTGGCGCTGTGGCTTAGAGTAGTAGAGCACTAGCCTTGAGAGAAAGAGCTCACACACAGTGCTCAGGCCCAGGGTTCAAGCCTTATGACTGAAAAAATAAAATTAATCCAGACACCAGTGGCTCATGCCTATAATCCTAGCTACTCAGGAAGCTAAGATCTGAAGATTGAGTTCAAAGCCAGCCTGGGCAGGAAAGTCTGTGAGACTCTTATCTCCAATTGACCACCAGAAAACCAGAAGTGGTGCTGTGGCTCAAGTGGTAGAGCATAGCCTTGAGCTGAAGCTCAGGGGCAGTGCTTAGGCCCAGAGTTCAAGCCCCATGACCGACCCCCACAAAAAAAATTAGATATGATCACTTCTGCAAGTACTTCACAGCTTAGAGGAAGAGACAGAAATAAACTAAAATCATTTTTAAGCACTAATGAAACTAATCTAAGTGGCAGATGATAAGTACTACAGTGGTTCACAGAAGAGAGATGACATTGGTCTGGTCTGGTGAAACTTTACACGGAGAGGAACATATTAAGCATGTTTGTAGCAAGGATGTTATTTACTTTGCCTAACATTCCTTTAAGATGGAGTAGGCAGTGATTATTTATATACAGTTTCAGGGAAACTCCCCTTAGATAGCTTGATGGCCAACTCAAGATTCTACATGTAGTTAGCAATGGATTCAGAGCTTGAATGTAGGTTTTTGCCTTTTGCTTCTGTGTATTTTCTAGTCTTTAGGTAAGGTATGAAACAATACCCTCTGAAAGAAATTCGCTAGGGTTGGCCTGGGATTGAGGATGCCTTGAAGAACCAATAGTCTCTATTCAAATACCAACACCATAGTATATTCTGAACACACATGGAGGTCATTTTTAAGATGATCAGATGCTTTGAATTAGCTCCTCTTCTTCAGTTATCCTTGTCAGTTCATCCTTATGTATGGACAACTTAGAGATTACATCAGGATCATTCTATATGAGCCACATGAAGATACCTTCTCCTGAATAGACAGAAGTCTGATGATAGTGCATGTTCAGGGACCCTGGAGCCCGTGGCTCTCATGTTTTTTTAGGAATCTGTTTTCCCAAAGGTGTCGTATTTGTGTCTGGAATTGCTGTTATAGCCAGTGCTCTCTCTCTCTCTCTCTCTCTCTCTCTCTCTCTCTCTCTCTCTCTCTCTCTCTCTTTCTCTCTCTGTCTTTCTCTCCATCACATTCTCTCTTTCATGCTCCTTTTTTTTGTCGGTCATTGGGCTTGAACTCAGGGTCTGAGTGCTTTCCCTGAATTTCTTTGTGCTCAAGGATAGCACTTTACCACTTGAGCCACAGTGCCACTTACAGCTTTTTCTGAATAGTTTATTGGAAGTAAGAGTCTTATGGACTTTTCCACCTGGGCTGGCTTCTAACCGTAATCCTCAGATCTCAGTCTCGTGAGTAGCTAGGATTACAGGTGTGAGCCACTGGCACCTGGCTCATGCTCCTTCTTTATGTTTGCTTTTTTCTCCTGAAACTCAGAGAGTGTCCTTTTTAAAGCTTCTTGGCATCTAGGATGAACCTCTAGATATTTTATGCTTGAAAGCACATAATTGTAATTCCAGATAATCCTCAGCCTGAAGCAGAAAGATTTTAAGTTCAAAGCCAGGCTGGGAAACTTAGTAAACCTATTTCAAACTAAAAATTTAAAAAGTGAATATGTCTATGTAAATCATTTAGTAGTCTTGAGTTAAGTCCCCAGTTGCTTTCATCCTCACAAAAAAAGTCTTTACTTCAGTGGTTGTTTTCTTTCCTGTCTTCCTTTTTTATTCATCCCTCATCTCATTCTCCTGGCATTCTTACATTGGACTGGCCATTTCTTAATTGTGGGCTAGCAGACCTCTTCAGCCAAGTGGCCAACTCTGGCAGCCAGTGTGACCAACGCCACCTTGGTGTCCTGCTTCATGAGGCCATTCAGGTGCCCCGTCAGCTGGGTGAAGTAGCAGCCTTTGGGGGAAGCAATGTGGAGCCCAGTGTCCGAAGTTGCTTTCGTTTTGTGAGTATGAAACTGAACAGGGATGGAGGAAGGGAAGAGAAGGGGAGGAAGGGTGGGAAGAAGGGAAGGAAGAGCCAAATCTATGTTTTGAAGTGCTCAGGGCTAGGAGAATGTGTGGGGATGAAAAGATGGGACTGAGGGCTCTTTGATCTCTAGGGTTGGAGTCCTGCCCTAATAGATACCAGTTTATCTAAGACAGAGCCAAAAGTGGACATCTCTGGAGAACATGCTGACCTAGGCTCTTCTGGTTTCCCTGATTCTTTAAGAAACAAGATAATTCAAGCATCAGTGATTTTCATGGGATTTCTTGTTTCCCTAGAGCACTGGGAAGCCAGTCATTGAAGCTTCCCAGTTCCTGGAGTGGGTCAACTTGGAGCCCCAGTCCATGGTGTGGCTGGCTGTTCTGCATCGCGTCACCATTGCTGAGCAAGTGAAGCATCAAACCAAGTGCTCTATCTGTAGGCAGTGTCCAATTAAAGGGTTCAGGTAGGGAGAACAATACTAGCTGCTATGATAATAATCATAAATAATTCAAGAGACCTATAATTCAGTATAACACATCACTTAATCATTATAATTGAAAAGATACATCTAGCCTGGCGCTGGTGGCTCACGCCTGTAATCCTAGCTACTCAGGAGGCTGAGATCTGAGGATTGCGGTTCAAAGCCAGCCCGGGCAAAAAAGACTGTGAGACTCCTATCTCCAATAAACCACCAGAAAACCGGAAGTGGCGCTGTAGCTCAAGTGGTAGAGCGCTCGCCTTGAGCTGAAGAGCTGAGGGACAGTGCCCAGGCCCAGAGTTCAAGCCCCACGGCCCACCAAAAAAAAAAAAAGAAAAGATACATCTTTTATGTATTAGTATATATTGTAGTACAGAATGTTTAACATTTTACAAAATTGGAAATGCTGTCCATTATGTTTTGGTTATAATCTGAAATACTATAGATTTACAAAAGTACATAGTGGACATCATAAAAATACCAATGTACCAAATGGTGTGTCAGCAAGTGTTCTACAATCGACTCCCTAGAAGGAAAAAAAAAGAAAAGCAAGTTGTAACATTTCTGTAATGGAAACCCTCCCACAAACACACCTGCCCATGTCACATTATCTAGAAATGTTCCTAAGCAGAGATCAGGAAAAGATGCACAGATTTGTAATATTTATAGTGTCTGCACCATAGAGATGCTAGTTGAATATCCCAAAGCCAATAATCAGAAATTTGGGATGTTTAATCAGTAGTCTGTACAAGTTAAAAAATGAAAACTCTAAAATCTGAAGCTCTTCTGTTCTCAAGCATTTCAAATAAAAGGATCCTCAACCTGTAATAAATAGCTTCAAGAAGATAGATAATGATAAAGTAATTAAGAAGAAATGAGTATGGAATATGAACTACCTCTTTCAGATCATTTATTAATTGTGAACATTAATAATTTCAAGTTTTAATAATGACTGTGTTTTATAGCAAATTTAGAAAACTTTTGAAATTTTAACAGCTAGCTCTTGTAAAGTTGCAAGAACTGAGTCCAGCACCCTGAAATGTAAACCCACAACCAAAGTTAAGGGCTATAACAATATTACAGTATATTTGAAGTATCCCTGATTTCATTGCCCAAAAGCAACCATATCCTGAATTTGACTTTCATCCTAAAAAACTCAAAATTTTAGCTTTTTAAAGCACCAGCACACAACTACATACACTCTGCTTTTGTGTGTTTGTGGCGGGGGGGGGGGGGGGGGGGAGATCTTGGGACTTGAACTCAGGACCTGGGCATTGTCCCTGAGCAGTTTTACTCAATGGTAGAGGTCTACCATTTTAGCTACAGCTCTACTTCGGGCTTTTTGGTAGTTCATTGGAAAAGACTCTCATGGATTTTCCTACCTGCGCTTGCTTCAAACCATGATCCTTAGATCTCTGCCTCCTGAATAGCTTGGATTATAGTATGAGCCACCACCAACACTAGCCAATATTCTGCTTTAAATAAGATGAGCAAACAAGGCACTGAGGTGGGATGTGACTTGCCCAAGTTCACACAGCTACTAGTGGTAGCTCCAGGACTAGATATTGGATCATCCAACTCCTCTAAGGCAAGGCATTTTACTCTTCTGTGCTGCTAAGTCTGGGCAATTAGGTAGGCTTTGGAAGTAAATATAAAGGACTCTTCTATACTCTGAAATAATAGAGTTATTATTATTAAAAAAGCCTATGGAAATAACTTTCATCCAACTTAATCACAGGTAATAGAATAAACTGTCTTTGTATTATGTTCTCTGAAGTAGGTGGTGGTACCTTGGGTCATGGAGCCTTGGAGTCATGCTTGTTTAAAAATATATCACAAAGGGATCTTTGCCTTTGCTCCTCTTTCCACCCTTTAAATGATAGGTTGTTCAACACTACTTCCTCACATTTCCCGGGAAAATGAGCTTGTGATTTCATGGAGACCATGGTCTCTAGAATAAGGCTCAGTCACTGCTGTATGTGGGAGGTTGAGAATGTTATGACTCCATGTTCCACCTCCTTCTTACACGTGTATGTATTTGGATATAGAGGGGATGGGTAAGGTTACTATGGCACACTGGGTTATCTTTCCTTCTATGTCTTCTCTCCCCAAGGTACCGGAGTCTGAAGCAATTTAATGTGGATATCTGCCAGACCTGCTTCTTGACAGGCCGGGCCAGCAAAGGCAACAAGCTGCATTACCCCATCATGGAATATTATACACCGGTATGGAGTCTCTGGGCTAGGAGGGAGAAGCAAGCAGATGTCAGGCACTAGGGCTTCACCCAATTTGCTCAGCCTTGATTCTCTGTGTTCTGCTCTCATATAAGAAACATTCTCAAACAGTTCTGGTGATTCACAAGCCTAAGGAATCAAGGTCTCTCTATTCTTCTACCAGAATTCCAAATTAAGGCCACAGTTGGCCCAAAGAACTCTTAAGGTTAATGGAGAATTGAAGGGTTCCCTCATATTCCCAGTTTCTACACAAAATTATAGGTCCTTGAGACCCTCCTGTGAAAAGCACTTCAGGGTATCTTACAAAAAGGAGAAGCTTGCAAGGTGAAAGTTTTATCACAAAAATAAGATTAAGGTAGAGAGAAAGAGAAGGAAATATTTCCTGTTCCTCCTGCAAGAAATATGAGTTAAAGATTCAAAATGGCAGCTGTTAGCTGCTGCCTTTGTCCTTTCTGAGCTGGAGGAATAGATGGTGGTTATACCTTCTAGAAATCCTCAGCCCTTAAGCAATCATTAGGGTGCTACTTATTATTCTAAAATATGGAGATGCCTCTAGGCCTGATAATGAATGAGCTTTAGGGCTTTATTTTCTCAGATGAGCTTACTGTCTTTACCCATTTACAGAGAGGGCAGTTTTAGCTAGCTAGGCCCCTTTTAGGTCTCTTAGACCTTGTAACTTAACATTTAAATAGAGGGAAGCTTAACTGCTTTGTTAGTTGCTTCCTGGTTCCAACTTCTGAGTCGGCCTTTTTCATGCTTATTAAAAATAATGTAATTTCCGGGGCTGGGAAGGTGGCTCAGTGGTAGAGTGCTTGCCTTGCATGCATGAAGCCCTGAGTTCAATTCCTCAGCACTACATAAGCAGAAAAGGCCAGAAGTGGTGCTGTAGCTCAAGTGGTCGAGTGCTAGCCTTGAGCTGAAGAGCTGAGGGATAGCGCCCAGGCTCAGAGTTCAGGCCCATGACTGACAAAAAATAAAGTAATTTCCCTATCTTGGTGGCTCATGCCTATAATGCTAGCTACTCAGGAAACTCTGATCTGAGGATTGAGGTTCAAAGCTAACCCTAGCAGAAAAGTCCACAAGTCACTAGTGCACCAGCCTTGAATGAAAAGCTAAGGAACAGCATTCAAGCCCTAAGTTCAAACACTACTACTGGCACAGAATTTTTTATTTGTTTGTTTGTTTATTGTTGGTAGTGGGGCTAAACTCTGGGCCTGGGCGCTGTCCCTCAGCTCTTCAGCTCAAGGCTAGCGCTCTACCACTTGAGCCACAGAGCCACCTCCAGAAAAATTTAAAAGTACAAATAAAAGTTCTGGGGGTGTGAACTCAAGTGGTGGAGCATATGAGGCTCTGGGTTCAATCTCCAGCACAGAAAGAACAAATGGAAGGAAGGAAGGAAGGAAGGAAGGAAGGAAGGAAGGAAGGAAGGAAGGAAGGAAGGAAGGAAGGAAGGAAGGAAGGGAGGGAGGGAGGGAGGGAGGGAAGGAGGGAGGGACGGAGGGAGGGAGGGAGGGAGGAGGGAGAGAGGGAGGAAGGGAGGTGGGAGGGAGGGAGGGAGAGAAAGAGAAAAAGACAGAAAGGAAGGAAGGAAGGAAGGAAGGAAGGAAGGAAGGAAGGAAGGAAGGAAGGAAGAAAGGAAGGAAGGAAGGAAAAGAAAGAAAAAGAAAGAGAGAAAGGAGGAAGGGAAGGAGGAAGGAAGGAAAGAGAAAGAAAGAAAAATAGAAAGAGGAGGGGAAGGAGGGGAAAAGAAAAAATAGAAAAGAATTAGGCATTAGTGCTCTGATGGATCTGACACAACTTCTCAGAACATCTGGAAGGCAACAAGATGAGTCTCTCTATCCTATCTCACCCCCTAGACCACCTCCAGTGAGAACATGAGGGACTTTGCTATAACCTTAAAGAACAAATTTCGCTCAAAGCATTATTTCAGCAAACATCCTCAGCGAGGTTATCTGCCTGTGCAATCGGTGCTGGAGGCTGACTGCAGTGAGACGTGAGTACCAGGTGGCTGAGTAGGGGCTACAAGCAGGCTCGATGATATGGTGTATGTACTGTGAAGGGGCTGTGTCCTAGGTGAGCTAACAGAGTGTTCCAGGGTAAATCCTATCAGTATCAGGGCAATTCAACTTGGGTGTAGCCTAGACTAGGGCCTGAGAACTAGACCAGAATCTAGTCATGATCTTGTTCCATTAAAACTTGTCCGTCTCCACTATGTGGAAAACAGAAGTGGTGGGGATCATGAGGAAACAGGCTGTGTAGCTGCCCAATTGTTTGATCATCTGTCTTTGCTGCTTTCTTCCAGGCCAGCTTCATCCCCGATGTTGCCACATGCTGACACACACTCTCGCATTGAGCATTTTGCTAGCAGGTACCAGCAGGTTTGGATGTATGATGGGGTGGGGGTGGGATTGTAGGAAGACCACAGGGAGGGTTTTTTTTTTTTTTTTAAATCTGGACAAGGAGATTTGAATAAGGACCAAGGGATGTACACAGTAAGATGAGAATTAGACAGCAAGGCCCAACACTTAGGAGTGATTTCGGTAGCTCCCAAATCTAGTGATTCTATTGTGGGGTTAAGATGCTTGAGATGAAAGCAGTCCTCACATCTAGTTTTCCTTCCTGTTTCTGGTCTTTCCTTCCAGGCTTGCTGAGATGGAAAGTCAAAATTGTTCCTTCTTTAATGACAGCCTGTCCCCAGATGACAGCATGTGAGTTTCCACAGCTGCTATGTTTCCAGAAATAGCTCTTCTTGAGAACCTTCTGCCACTGGTTGAGAAGGGTATATCCCTAGGGGAATGGGAGCCAGGGTGGTGGTTAGGGTCATTGTCTCCTCCCAGGAGGGCGGGCTTCTTCTTAGGCAAAGCATTTAGTAAGATAAGCAGTCTTTCCCTCTATCAACAACCTCCCTGCAATCAGCCCAGGCGTTCTCTGCCAACTTCAAGAAAAGATTGTACCTTCATCTAACTTTCAAAAAGCAGTTATGTTTTTTCTGCTCAAGATACCAAAACCACATCTAGTACCATACCAATTTGACTCAAGTATGGCCAAAAGAAGGCCCGAGGAGGAGCTCTGCATCTCTAGCTTGCACAGATGATCTACAAGCAGGTGCTTGCAGGGAACAATCTGATCCTGACTGGGATCAGATCCTTCTCAGAGGTGGGTAAGGAAAGGAGGGCAGACTAGGAACTGATTTGCTCAGTATATCTCAGGGAGCTGTAGAACTCAGAAGCTGCAGCATTCTGGAAATACTCTCTCATTGCCCAAATTACAGCTGTTGCCACCTTTGAACATTTCCACCCTTCCCCAGTGTGATCCTGTGGCATTTTCCTCTTTATGAGACTTAAAATCCAATTATCTGGCATGAGTCTTCAGTTGAGAGCTGAACCCCTGAGTGGTTTCTCTATTCGATACTTGCCTACTTCCTTTCTTCTCCCCACACCCATGCAGAGATGAGGACCAGTACCTGTTACGACACTCCAGCCCTATCACAGATCGGGAGCCAGCCTTTGGACAGCAGGTTCCATGCAGCATGGCCACAGAAAGCAAGGGGGAACTAGAGAAAATCCTGGCCCACTTAGAAGATGAGAACCGGTAGGTATAGTCTTATTAGTATAACTAGTTACTTATACTCCATGATCCTCCATTTCCTGATCTGTAAAATGGGGATAATGATAATTATTGTGAATTCAAAGTCAACTGTGAAGACCAAACAAGATCAGCCTATAATGTGTTAGCTCAGTGCTTGGCTTATAGTAAAGACTCAATAAATAGTAATGACTCTTATTATAAGAGCCCTTGTAACTCTAGTTTTTCCAAGTACCTACTACATACAAGAATAGAGAATACAGGGCTGGAAAGGTGGCTCAGTGGTAGAGCGCTTGCCTTGCATGCCTGAGGCCCTGGATTCGATTCCTCAGCACCACATAAGCAAAAAGCCGGAAGTGGCGCTGTGGCTCAAGTGGTAGAGAGCTCGCCTTGAGCTGAAGAGCTGAGGGACAGCGCCCAGGCCCAGAGTTCAGGCCCCACGACCAGACCCCCCCCAAAAAAAAAAGCTCAGGGAAAATGTCTATGCCCTAAATTCAAGCTCCATGACCGCAAAAAAAAAAAAAAAAAAAATAGAGAATACAAAAAAATACAAGCAAGGTGCCAGTGGCTGATTGTAGTAATCCTAGCTACTCAGGAGCTGAGGTCTGAGGATCACAGTTCAAAGTCATCCTGGGCAGGAAAGTCTGTGAGACTCTTATCTCCAATTAACCAACAAAAAGCCAGACGTGAAAGTATGGCTCAAGTGGTAGAGCTCTAGTCTTGAGTGAAAAAGCTAAGGAACAGCACCCTGGCCCTGAATCCTAGCCTCTGTACTAGCATAAAAATAGTCTTCTCCTCCTGGTTTCTAAGAACTTTCTGTGCTGGAAGTAGAGAGATACTTATCACACAAAGTATCCCAGAGCACTGTGACATTACATACAACATTTGAGGACTGGAAGAGGGAAAGCGAAGATTACAAGGATGGCATTTATCTCCATATAATAGGGGTGGCAGCAGTCATCTGAGGAAGATTTGAGCCACTTTGAAGGAGGAAGTAGAATCTGCAGCACCTATTAGAACAGCACTCCACAAACATTAGCTGTACACTCAGGGCAATCGGAAAATACAGATTCTGATTGACAGGTAGGGGGCTGAGTTTCTTCATGTCTCACAGGCGGCCAGGAGATGTCCATATCACCAGTACACAGCCCACACATTTTAAGTCTTTCAAACTGTGTTCTTCAGGGGAGGCATGCCCAGGAGGAAGTCTGCAAAGATAAATACAGAAATAGAAAAGTTACCTTTTCAGAACTTCTATAACAATCTGACTTTTCTATGAACATCCAAACCCATAATTACAGGACCTATCATAGTGAATAGGCTACAGGTGATGTTTGCTAGTGGACCTAGTCATACATATTAGAACCACACATATCATTCCACAACTGAGTGGGGGGAAATTTTTGGTTTCTTGCTAAGAACAGTTTGAGAAACTTTGCATTAAAGAGTAGCAGGGAGCTGGGTGCTGGTGGCTCATGGCTGTAATCCTAGCTACTCAGGAGGCTGAGATGTGAGGATCATAGTTCAAAGCCAGCCTGGGCAGAAAAATCCGTGAGATTCTTATCTCCAATTAACCACTAGAAAACCGGAAGTGGTTCAAGTGGTAGAGCCCTCGCCTTGAGCGGAAGAGTGCAGGGACAGTGCCCAAGCTAGAGTTTAAGCCCCACAACTGACAAAAAAAAAAAAGAGTAGCAGGGAGAAGACCCTTAGAAATGTTGGGCAGGCAGTGATTCTATTACAGTGACCCCCACAAAAGAGTCATGTTCCCCAAAGCAGTCTATTCCTTTGGAATCTGTTTCCTTGATGATCCAATGTGTGCCTGCAATGTGGGTCACACAGGAGGTAAATTATAGAGAGAAGAGGCAAAATGAATGGTCTCTTATTTATGTTATGATATCCCTGGAATTTAAATGTCTAGAAAGTGAGTAGGTGAGTCATTGGGCCTAGTGCTTCTTTTATTTGCAGACCATGTTTCTGCCTGATTTGAAGGTCAGAATTAATCCCTGAAGCAGCACATCAAAGCCCCGAGCCATTTCTTATGTGAAATGTCAGCTCTATTTGCACAGAGGTCTCAGAAGAGCAGAGTACATGATACACATGCTGGAGAAGAAGCGGATGTGGCCGTTTAACAACAGCAGGGCTCTGGGTGGGGAATGGGCTGAGGAAGCACAGGGATTGCTTACCCTTGGGAATCATATGTCTTGACTTCTTTGTCCTTCCTTGGCAGGATTCTCCAGGGAGAGCTGAGGCGTCTGAAATGGCAGCATGAGGAGGCGGCTGAGGCCCCTACCCTGGCTGAGGGTTCCACTGAGGCAGCACAGGACCACAACAATGAGGAGCTTCTGGCTGAAGCCAGGATCCTCCGGCAGCACAAGAGCCGCCTGGAGACTCGCATGCAGATCCTGGAGGACCACAACAAGCAGCTAGAATCTCAGCTGCAGCGTTTGAGGGAACTGCTCCTGCAGGTGAGGCTGGAGACTGAAGGATCTGAGCAGTTCTGAACATTGGTATGGAAAGTAGGGTTTGGGAGTGCAGCAAAAAGGAAGAAAAATCAGCTTCTTAGCTATGGCTGTCAAGTGACTTTCTGAAGAGAATGGGGCTGGCAGTTAGGGAGGGAAGTGGAAGAAAGGGCTAATAGGGACATATCCTCAGTTGTTTGTTACCTAATTTCTACACCACTTATGTGTCACTCTCAAGCTACTAAAGGGTTTGGGTCAGAGGGAGGACATCTTTGTTGTGTGTTTGCTGGTGCTGGGGCTTGAACTCAGGACCTGGGCATTGCCCCTTGGCTTTTTTTGCTCAAGGCTGGTACTCAACCACTTGAGCCACAGCTCCACTTAATCTTTTTGCTGGTTAATTGTAGATAAGAGTGTCATAAACTTTTCTGTATAGTCTGGCCTAGAACCACAATCCTTAGTTCTTAGCATCCTGAGTATGTAGAATTATAGGCATGAACCACCAGTGTCTGGCTAGGATGAAAGGAAGGACTCTGAAAGACTCATTTCTTCACAACCCCATTGGAAATTGGTATTGATAGAACAAACTTCAAATGTCATCAAGAACATTAATTTTGCTAGTATAGCAAATATACTAGAAAGAAGCAAGTTGGACATGTTTGGCAAGAGAAAGATTATTACAATAAAGGGATCTCTTGTTACTTTCTGCCTCTTTTTTCTCTGAGAACTAGTGTAGCTCTAGAATCAGACCACCATGGATTTGAATATGGCTCTTCCAGTTAGTTACTATAGGGTGTTAGGAAAATTAACCTCACTCAGATCCAGTTTCTCATCTGTAAAGCTGGAATAATTAAAATACCAACTTCACAGAATTGTGGTCAATATAGTTAACCTCAATTGTTCATTATGAGATAATGAATTCATTATGCCAGAAATACAGTATACTCTTCATAAATGTTACCCTTTATTGTCATTATGTGTAGCAAGCAATAGTACTTCTTGCCCTTTACCTTCTCCCCAGATCTTCCAAAAGATATTTTCTAAATGAATTCCTGGAGAGAGTTCTAGCACATGCTGTTATGTCATGAACCGAAGACCAGGTGTGCAATTCTTTATTTCCAGAGAAAATTGGCTTCTAAATAGTTTATATATAGCTGAAAAGACAGCAAGAGACCTTTAGGTACCCTGCCATCTCTCAAGAACTAGGAACCTTTGACATGTGTTGCTAAAGGAAGAAGTTAATGGTAATTGAATATTTTAAGAAGTTTCCTAAAGGGGGAAGCCACTACTGGGTGCCAAAGCTTCTTAAAGTCTAAAGGTAGAGATGAGCATGAGGTCTCTAAGTTCCCTTCTAAGCTGAAGAGTCTGTCCAAGTAGGGTCAGGAAGGCAAACCCACTTAATCATACCTTACTTCTTGCTAGCCACCCACCGAGTCAGATGGCAATGGCTCTGCAGGCTCGTCCCTAGCTTCCTCTCCACAGCAGTCAGAAAGCAGTCACCGCCGGGAGAAGGGACAGACTACTCCAGACACTGAGGCTGCAGGTATGTTCCCCAGATCCTCCTAGTCCTTTCCTGTCATGGGGTTTTCCTGCCTAGATTTCCTGCCCAAGGTTCTGCTAGGACTGGGACTAGTTGCCCCTCTTGATTTTAAGCTTAGGTTCAGAGATGATTGGTTGATTGACTTATTTGCTCCTATAAACATAGGAGATATTGTGAGTGCCTCCTACATATGCATCATTGCAATGGGAAAATGCACCTGCTTTAGGTTGGCACTTCAGCTGGTAATATCCTACTATGGTGTACTGATTTTACTCAAAGGAGTATCATGTTATTATTTTCCTCAATCTCTCTTTCCTAACTCAGATGATGTGGGATCAAAGAGCCAGGATGTCAGCCTGTGCCTGGAAGACATCATGGAGAAGCTCCGCCATGCCTTCCCCAGTGTACGAAGCTCTGATGTGACTGCCAACACCTTGATGGCCTCTTGATGGAGCAAAATCCCCATCCTTATAGTCCATAGTCCTTCCCTGGTTCTGGTCAAATCCTTCCCTCAGCTTTCACCCAACCTTTCCAGTCCCCACTGGTCCTGCAATAACCAGAGTTATTTGGGCTCCAGACAGCAACAAGGATCTGGTTGTATGTGAGGTGGGTGTGGTGGAGGAGGGGTGGAAGAGAAGGGACAGAGACACATGATTCCTCCAACTCTACAAACGTGTCCTTTCTCAAGTTTGAGACCTGTCCCTTACATTACCTTGCTGTTGCAGCCCAGGTAAATTGCACTTTTCTCATTCAGATGGGGAACAGAGAAATTGCCTTGCAGAACTAAGCAGTGTACAGTGGCTACTACCTTTTTTCTCCATGGGATTATGGACAGAGAGAGTCCTAATGGCTCCAGGGCACCAGTAGTATAAATCCGTAGAGATTGGCCCTAGTAATTCAGAAAAGTGAAAAGGTATCTCTGAGACTCCCCTCCATAGTGCCCTGAAGAAGTCTGGGAAGTGTGTGCTTTGTTACTTCAGCTCCAAGGCATAACCCTAACCCTTAGAATTCTGCCTCCATGTTGTTTCCTCCTCCAGTATTTTCAGTTCCTTCTGCCTTAGTCCCTGGCAGACCTTCTATGAGGCGGAAACAGTTCATTCTGGTTTCTATTTCCACCTTACATTTGGAAGCATTAAAGAAATATTTGTGGGATGAGAATTTTTCCCTGATCTTCCTCTTTCCTCAAGGCTTCAGCATTTCAAGAGACCCGTCCTGAGATTCTCTAGAAACTCAGTCTAACCTATTTAAGTATGTCTTCTAGACTTGGGGGATGGATCAGTGGCAGCTTGCTCAGCAAGGGGATCTTCACCCTGGGGTGCCTGACCCTCTAGGCTGTGACCTTTTTCTGTCTTAGTCTAAATCAGGTGAGGTGGCTGGCGTTACCCCCCAGCTAATCATAAGGCAGTTGCAAATGGCCCTTCTGTCTAGAGATTTCTTCCTAGGAGCCACTGGTCATGAATCAGAAAGCTGGGTGCTTTCTACTCAGATGACAAGGCCTTCTTGTGAATAACTTTGGAAAGTGAACCAATCCTCAAACCGAACTAACTCTTCCTAAGCCACATATATCGTGACTCCTTTATCCAGCAACTGTTCAAAGTAGATAGTAGGGGTGAAAGGATTAGGCTTGGAAACTTGGAACTGAGTCAGAACCCACTTAGGCTGCTTTCTACCAAGAATTATTTCCCCAGAGCCCTGCAGTAGACTTATTTGCCTGAGTTTATATACATACATATCTATTCTACATATCTACTGTACATCAGTGCTCTCTCAGCCTCACTCGCATATTAAATTCTAATACTGCTTGAAGTATTAATGTTCTGCCTTGCTCTTTGTTAGACTCAGCCTCTAGTTGGAAAGAGAGATTAATCATATTGGCTGTTCCCCTAAAAGGCCTCTGCATTGTTATTTGGGCTAAGCTGCCCTCAAGACCAAAGTAACAAGAGCCTTTGGCCACAGGGGAGTTGTAACAGAACAGTCATTCTGTTTTCTTCACTTATTCCAAACTTGTCCCCTTTGACACCCAGACTTGGATGAATTTTTCTGGATACCCGTTAACAATGATTCAGGTGCCAAAATAGAGAAGATCTATGTTCATCCATCCTATTCAAAGCAAAAAAATCTTTGCCATGCTAAGACAAGAATACATCTTCTGGCTCCTTTCAGCTCCTAAAATCTAGCTCAGGGACTTAAGGAAAGCAGTGATTGCCAACATTATCAAAGAGTGACACATTTGGAGTATTGTACTATAATCAGGTAGTAGCCAGTAGGGAAAACTTCTAGGAACCTAGATCAATCTGATCTGGGGAAAGTTGGATAGCCACTTGGGTTCTGAAGCCAAGGAGTCCCTTCACTAAGCCACAGGTTCATAGTGTCAGATCTCATGTCCCAATATCTGCCCCTGTTTGTGAGGTCTCTAGCCATGCATGGTGAGCAGGAGATAGGTAGGCTTATAATACAGAGCCTGAACATCAGTCAGAGTGGGACATCTTTGTAAGAGTGTAGATTCTGGGCAGGAGTAAGCCATTAGAAACTTGTAAATGACAGATATTATGGAACAATCTTTTATCAAGAAAGTTATTTCTTTAACCCCTACCCCACCCAAAAGCTTTGGGGCTACTGAGAGCCTGAGGTAACTTTAATGGGCCAGGCATGGTAGAAAAGACATAGATCTTGTTATGTAGGATTTGGGCTGTAGGTGGATTGAAGCAGCAGGTGAAGAGATGAATTCTCACTAAGGGAGTCAGTGACATTTTGCTATCTTGTGTTTACATGTAATGCCTGAGGTGAGTATACTGTTCAAGGGTCCAGTGACAGATGCTGCTTCATGTTTGGGCAGTCTGCCCGCAGTGAGGCAAATGGATCTGTGGGCATTGTGTATCTACATTGGCGGTGGATTTACCAAAATGCATTGTATGTTGTTAGATATCTATTACGTATCATGTCTCTTAAAGGTGTACTATGTAATGTATGATCCTGTACTGGAAGGTGGTGAATGGAGTTGTTGGGTTGGTAGCCTACTGACTTGTGAAATTAGCCTCAGTGATCAGGAATGTGAATGTTTGCTGGAGTTGTTGTCAAATAGTAGAGAACAGTTCAGACTGACAATTTATTCTAGACAGAATTTGAATCGGCCAAAAAGCCATTGTAAGCCTACCTGTGATTCACATTAAGTGGCAATTGTTTGGGAATGTGGACTGGCTGGAGGATATTAGGCTGTGATAGGATTTCCTAGAAAGTATCCTACTCCAGAACACATATGTCCTTCCTCCAAAATGGAAAAGTTGGATTCAAGATTCTCAAGTGCTCATTTCCTTCTAAACCCTTCTCTATTGAGTTTCTGGTATCCCAGGAACTAGGCTAGTTGACTGTGGAAATAAGGAACCAACAGGTTAAGCAAAATCCAGTTCTGAGATATGATTTCTCACTAGATTTATTTTAAAGAATACCCCTACTGCCTGAGGTGTATGTTTAAAAAGGATTTGAGCTACATGTCTAGCCAGCTTCAGGCTAGATCATTCTTTGAGCTTATATTCTCAATGGAAGCATTGTAGTCTCTGGGAGCCTTTCTGGATAAGCATTCCATCCAATTCCCCTTGACATATTTGACAGATAACAAAGAATATATCTGCCTTAACACAAACAGGGAGATAAACTGAGGGCACTGCTCTAGGGCTGTGGAGACATGGCTCCTCAGCTGGGCAGTTCTATCTTTGGGCCTTCCTGCCAGAACATAGCCCTTGAAAGCAAAGAAATACTTCAGCGACTTCTTACTGTTTTAATACCAGTGGCTGTGTGAGAGCAAAAGGCTCAAAGCTCCACTTCCAGTGTCTATCTTCTGCCACAGCTGCTGTCCTTGGGAGGGGATTTGATAGAACTCCTTGTTGTCCCCAGGGCAGGACTGAGGGCAGACTGAAGCTGCAAAAACTGGTCATAAGGATGAGAATTGGGTAAGGAACTTGGCAAGGATGGGCCAGTGTAGAAAAGATTGGGATGAAGAGGCAGGGCTGGAGCATATTGGTTAACTTTGATTGCCACTCACAGTGGTGCTTTTTTCCTTTATCCTTGAATTCTGCTTTGAAGAATAAATTTGTATTTAGTTACTTTGGTTCTTTTGGTTATTCTGATCTGATATTTTATACAATTTTCTTCTTTGGGGGTGGGAAGAAAGGTTGAATCAAGAAGCGACAGGAACACTGAAAAAACATAAGGCACCAGATTAAGAGCAACACCTATGATATTAAAAAGACATCCTCTTTGGTCCCATGTGCCACTGTTGCTTGGATAGGTAGATCTTCCCCCAAATTAGCTAGTTTTCACCTCATAGAATGAATTCTAGAGAGTAATGGTTCCTACATTGCATCCTTACCAATCTGAATTTTCCCATCAGCTGAATCAATATAAGAAAAATCAGGACATTCCAGTGAGTTTTCATAAAGTTGTATTTATTGAATAAAGAGCTATTCTTTTTAAATTTTATTTTATTGTAAAGATACTGTACAGAGAGGTTACAGTTACATGAGTAAGGTAATGAGACATTTCTTGTTGAGTATTGTTTACCCTCTCCTTTGTTGTTCTCCCACTAAAGATCTATTCTTTATTCTGAGATTTTGGCTATATATGTATTTGTTGTTAAAATGGCCCTATGAATTGATGATATGTGATATCTCTTTAATTTTTTTTTCTAATCCTGAGCTTGAGCTCAGTGCCTGGGCAGTCTACCGATAGAGCCATACATAGCTCTACTTCTGACTTTTTGGTGGTTAATGGGAAATAAGAGGTCTCACAGACTTTCCTGCCTGGGATGGCTTCAAACTGTGATCCTCAGGTCTCAGCCTCTTGAATAACTAGGATTACCAGCACAGCCACTGGTTCTGGTGCCCAGCTTTAAAAAAAATTATTAGACTATACTAATTATACAAGAGATTCACTGTGATCATTCCATAGTACATGATGTCCATAGTATATGATAGTCGATAATACATGATGTACCTTGATAAATTCACACTCTTCTTCCTTATTTTCATCCATAACAATCTTTTATTATAGTTTTTAGTGGATTCATTATGCTATTTCCATATTCATATAACTTCAATTCCCCCATCGCCCTCTACTTTTCCAAGTCCCCATCCCACTAGTTCTTCCCAACAGTCCTCCTATTATATTTAATTATTATTATTAAGGTCTATAGTCTAGATGAAAAACATGATCCCAACACTTTATATGCATTTATGAAAATTGATTTGCATTTTCTTTATGGCTGAGAAAGTTGAATATTTCTTTATATCTGTTTTGGCCATTTGCTCTTCTCTTAAGAACCAGCTGTTTAATTCATTTGCCTACTTAATTAATTGGATTATTTATTATTTTGTCTTTAATTTTTTTAGCTCTTTCTATATTCTGGATATTAATACTTTATGAGATGAATGATTTGTAAAGATTTTCATTCCATTCTGTAGGTTGTCTCGATTCTGGTAAGTATTTTTTTGCTGTACAGAAGCTTCTTTTTTGTCAGTTGTGGAGCTTGAACAGGGCACTGTCCTTGACCTCTTTTGCTCAAGGCTAGTGTTCTATCACTGTAAGCCACAGATCCACTTCCAGTGTTCTGGTGGTTAATTGGAGATAAGAGTCTCATGGACTTTCCTGCCTGGGTGGCTTAGAACCATGATCTCATCCTCCTGAGTAGCTAGGATTACAGGCATGTGCTACGAGCGCCAGGCTCAGAAGCTTAAAAAAAAAAAACAGATTTTTGGGAGGGGCTGGGAAGGTGGCTCAGTGGTAGAGTGCTTGCCTTGCATGTTCGAGGCCCTGGGTTCAATTCCTCAGCACCACATAAGCAAAAAGAAAAAAGCCAGAAATGGCACTGTGGCTCAAGTGGTAGAGAGCTAGTCTTGAGCTGAAGAGCTGAGGGACAGCGCCGAGACCCAGAGTTCAGGCCCCACGACCAGACCTCCCCCCCAAAAAAACAAATGGATTTTTTATTAGCATACATTAGTTGTATGGAGGAGGGTTTCATTGTGAACTTCCATACATGAATACAATGTATCCCATCATATTCTACCACTATCGCCCATTCTATCACTCTTCCTTTCTCTCCCCCATTCTGAAACAAAGTTAACAGATTTTATTGTTACATTTTCATATATACAGATAGAGTTTGCCATTTCATGGCAAAATAAAACCTTTTCTGTCCCTCTTCCCTATCACCAATCTCTCATTTCTCACCAATCCATAGTGGTACTGTCCAGCAGAAATGGCATATCATGTACATGATTTAAAATTTTCTAAATAGTTTAAAAGTAAAAACAGGCAAAAATTTAATAACCAAATGTATCCTTTCAACATGTAATCCATTAATACTAATTAAAACAATTGCTGAGATATTTTAAAGTCTTTTAAAACTACATCTTCAGAATTGTCAGGAAATCTTCTGGTGATAAAACCAGACACCCAAGCCAGATGCCAGTGGCTAATGTCTATAATTTAGCTTCTCAAAAGGTTGAAATCTGAGGATCATTGTTTAAATCCAGCACAGGAAAAAAAAAAAGTCCCTGAAACTCTTATCTCCAATAAAAACTACCAAAAAGCCAAAGTGGAGGTAGAGCACTAGAGCACTAGACTTAAGCACAAGAAGCCCAGAGGTAGAACCCAGGCCTTAGGTTCAAGCCCCAGCACTAACACACACACACGTACACACACAGTGAATGCAAAATTAGTGATCATTTCAGCTCCCTAGGTCCATTGTCTCATTTGCAGCATAACTGATGGAATGACCTGGAGTTGAGTAATTGAGACAACACCAGTGCAGCAGTTTTATGGCTTATACCTAACCCACCTAGCAGAAAGGCCTATACCCTTTGGAAATGTGAGAAACAGATGAGAAATTATTTCATGGTAGCCAGCCTTGATAGGAAGGCAAATGAAGAACCATGTTGTAGTCACCTCTCACAAGATTGCCTTTCTTCTGATTCTGACAAAAGTCAGAATCATTGAGCTATTATAAAAGAAAACTTCATGAAGTATGTGT